GGGGGTATCACATGGTTTACAGGGGCAACGCAAGGAGGATCAGCCTCCAACAAAGTTTAAAGGGGGAAGGACTACAAAAAGCTGCCTGCCAACAGAGTAGGATCATAAGAACTGTCTAAAGAGCCGTAAGGGAGATCAGGTACATTTCATTGTGACGCGACCAAAATCCTCCAACTTCCCCTCCCTTCCCCCTTCGCTGAACTAACTGATGATGACTTCCCTTTTGGTTATCGAAACATCAGTCACCATTTGCAGGATTATTCTCGACCGGATTATCTAAAGCTACACGTTTTTAAACGAGGTCAAACATTTTCAGTACAAACTGAACATGGGCCAAAAACGTGGTCGGAGGGAGAGAGAGGGGGCGGGTGATGGGTGGGTTTCTAAGATGTAAGTGATTTCCCTCTTTGACTGCTTATTCAGTTATTTAAAACCTTTATCCCTCAAGAGTGACAAGCATCTCATTTCTCCTTACAATATCACAACCTGGATCAATCATAAAGCTCAGGAGAATAAAAGAAAAGATCTTGATTGCTGAACAAATTTTTTTTGTTAGCACCTCAGGAATTGTAAACAGTGTGGAGAATATGCATACTGATATCAAGGTGTAATTCAAATACGAACAAGTCCCTGGTATAAGACCCTTCCCTGCCTCCATGGAAAATTCTTCGCTCGCCCCCGTCAGCAGATAGATGATAAATTGTAACACCCTAAGCTTCGAGAAAAAGCAGATTACTCTTTGAAAAAAGATTTCAGACGTGACAGAGAAGCCCTACGTCAAAGTCTGTCTGCACGTACTTTGTTTTTTTCGAAGGAACGTTTTCACGGGTCAACGGCCTGCGGTCACCTATCTTAACACGCTTGAAATAACTGTTCATGCCAAGCTATATTTGTTTTAAATTGTTCTTTTAAATTGTTAATTACCGAAACAAAATAATCTATCTATACGAATAAATAAGTGTATATACCTTTTGATAACTGACAGATGTTTTTTTGCATGATCTCTTCCTTAGAGACGTGACTTGAAAATTAAAATCCACTTTTTGGTTGTCAATGGGAAATGAATTGGAATGGAACGAGTTACCCACATCAAATCCATACTTTTAATTTGTTTTTAAACTTAAAAATTATGTGTCAAGATTAACATAAATAATACTTGAATATATGACTATATATATATACACATATATTTACGCAAGTTTCTTGCATGTGGGTTAGCATATGCAGTTAAGGAAAAAGGTTTTGGCTCATAATTTTATTGTATTACCAATCATTTCAATCACCATACGTATATTTTTGTACAGAGCGCGTTTCAAATAAATTCGAACGAGAACTCAGTAGTTTGTTTTCTTTAGATTTTAAGCTTCTTTTTTCATGTATACAGCTGTGTATGATCTAAATAATTTATAATTTTAAGTTCGGTCATAGTCGAGTTCCTCTCCAAATGCTTTTTTAGCTGAAATTATTATTATTGTACATGTCGCGAATTCTGTCCGAAGAAGCTCGTTTTGTTCTTGAATTTTTTCTGGGTCGTCTGATCGATTCTGGATGATCCTTTGTCTCGCTTAAACACTGCTCGAGTTTCATGAACCTCGGATCCTCAAGGCATTTTTGAGTTTTTTCTCGAGAAACTCTGAGCATTTCTGGTAAACTCGGCTGTTTTCGAAGCGGTGGCTTTCTCTTTGAAGACCCTAACGGTTCCCTAAGTATTCCCTCGTTTCCGTGAATTGGTGGCAACTGATGTCGATCCAACGTGTCGCTCGCGTGTACATCGACGTGTTTATTTCCAGATATTTTTCTCCTAGGACTTGACAACGGCTTTGCGCTGCCTTTCTGCGATGGCCTATTTTGCACCGCTAATCGAACAAGAGTTATTGCCTTTTCCCAACGTCCTTTTGCTTTATCATTTCCAACTAATTCCCCGCTTGGATTTGTGCGACACGCTTCTAAATTCGAAGCTACGATATTTGATCTTCCTCGCGTATCTATCGGCGGTAACTGTTCGCCATTATCGACATTTTGTTGAACCTGTTTGACGCCTTCTTGTCCATTTAACGTTCGGGGTCGTTCTTCTGACGCCGAAACCTGCTTTGTGGCAAATTCAAGCTGTCTATAAGTCATGTATTTATCTTGCCTGAATTGATGTTTAGATAATTCGTCCAAGCGCGTGCTGAGTGCTCGATCTTCGTAGGCATTCTCTTTGAGTATTGCATTTCCAACCTTGTTCTTCAGCCTCATTTCTCCTGTCTTGCTGATGCGAATAAGCGGGTATCTTGATGAACTAACACTCATATTGAAATAATGTCTTTAACAACCACTAAAACAGCCTCAATTCTTTAACCACATTTCCGTGCTTTTCGGTCTTTTAAGAATCAACACCCTGTCTGAAATATTTCCAATTCTAGCCGGTCTTAGTGCGTTTTATGAATTGCTTGACTACTTGTTACGAAACTTGATCCGTTTTCCTCAGGGCTCTTGAAACAAAACCACACCGTTACATCAATTCGACCAAATTCACCACTTCAGGGCGTTCTTAAAATTTTTGCATTTCCTCCGATCAGGTGGCTTAATCAACTTTGTTTGATAAACATCTACAAAGACTCTAATAACACAGCGCGAGCGATTTAATTGACGAATACTCGCTTTGCATAAACTTTCATAGCATAATTAGAATTTGTAAAATCTTGCAATTTAGCAGGTCCCGGTGGAATTCAATGGATTAATAAAGAAACGCATTAAGAACTCTTAAGGACGCTTAATTCTGCCATTCACCGCTTTAGGAAGCTTCAAAGTAAAGCGAATTGTTTGAAACACAAAGGTTTTTGGATGACTGTTACAATTTTGAAGATGAGTTTCATCGACATAAGAGTTCTTATTCTGACGCATTTATCGAATAAGTATTGACTTCACCTGTCACTCTTGTTTGTTTGTGGCTAAGTGTAAATTTTTTCATTAACACCTTTCATGACGCCAAAATGAATTAACTTGTTTACAAAGGTTTAGCGAGGAGTGAACAGACTTAATGGCGCAAATATTGCGCTGGGAATCCCAAAGATATAGTGCATGCTGTTAAAATTTTAGAAGATTTATCAGTCATAACGCCTAAAACATAAAAACGTAAATTTGTTCGCTCGGTGATGCTAACTGCGCGGTATTTTTGTTTGTTGATAAACTGCAAGGACGAATTCCCGGGCCCTGCGGTTCGCGTGTGCAGGGGGTCAAAAGCGTATTTACAGACTGCGAACCTGCGATAGGATATGGATATGACGATTTGCGAGCTGTTACTTAGTTGGACGATTTCAAAACAAACTGCTCTAACTGCTGCATGATGCGGCCTAAAGAAATTCGACTCGCAAACCTCTTATGCCCTGGGGCACGGATGTTGCAAAAACCCATCGACTAAAAATGTTTTGTTATTTTTTTAATTTGAACTTAAGCTCAAAAGCCGCAGCATTGTGGCATTAACTACTGTAAGATAACGAGCGCAATAGCGCACGAAAGTCAGTTGTTGCTTTTTACAGTTTTCTCAACGGTAAAAATTGAAGATGAAAACATCTGACATCTGTCGTTTATTCTAATCATGTGAATAATTAATAACATGCCATAGCCAAGATAACATCGACATATTCTCTAGCTATTAGACTACCAGCCATCCCTTACAGGTGAAAAATTAAATAAAATAAATAATGTTAGCGCGTTGTGCGAACTAATCTATGCGCTTCACTCCCGGAATTTTTTCACTGATTTTGTGACTCGTGACTCGTGACTCAGTAAAGTACTGATCATTCGTCAATCGTTGATATGAATTGAATTTGATAGTATTCAGATTTGACAAGTACGGAAGGAAATTTTTTAAGCGTCTCCTCTAAGATTTCAAGTGCGGTTAAAACTATAACAGAAAGCTGCCAACCAAACCTTTAAAAATAAAACTAGAGAAAAGAAAGGAGTAGTATTCACGAATAACACTTACAGTTGCTGCCGAGTTTACTTTTTGCTGCACTTTAAGATACGATGTTGAACTGCGCACTGAACTATTGCCTCCAACGAGCGAAACGAACCAACTAAGCTCTGTAACTATTTACGGTGGCAAATTTACGTTACCAACTCAGTTGGGTAAAATTTCCGCACAGCCCTACACCACATTATGCATTCAGTTCTTGGATAGAGAAAACAATGACAAAAACAATACATTTCCACTGGGAAAAAAGATTTGTTTACAGTAGTATGGAGCGGTGCGGAAATTTTACCCTCAATTGACACGACTAAATCACCCTGTTATACTCTCCCACCGACGCAGAATTACAAGAATTACAATTTACGCGATAAACTGAAAAATTCGCCTGAACGGGTTTTTTTTTTTGATGTTCAAGATTAGACGAAATCGGATTCTATTTCCAGTCATCCTTTTTCTTTTTCTCCATTCAACTAAATAAAACTCATTTACGTAAGAGGCCTTTGACTCTTTAAATGGATGACCTTTACTTTACTCAAAAGGATCCTTATCGAGCGCTGTAAACGAAATACTCATATTTTTGCGTGAGAAGTCCAAGGTTAACCCACTCCACTTCTTTGTACGACCATCCGAAAATCTTTTACAGTCGAGATAACAAAATTCAAGACATTCAAACCATCCTAAGTGTCAAGTGACCCGCGAAATACGGAAAATTATACTGATAAACAAACTGAAAGAAATTAATCCGGATGTAACGATTCTAACGACTATATTTTCAGCCGTAATTCACACTTACATTAGTACGACCAAGAGAGAGATTACAATCTCTTAGCACAACTTAGGAGCTGATAAAATGCTTAGAGGTTCTTAAAAAGCAACAAGATTGAATTGAAGACTAATTCCGAGTCCATCTGGAGCCATACAAGACGCACCTTGCTGTTTATTCACTGCTACGAGGAACTCGCTTTAATTTCACGGTAGACGAAACGCATGGACTGACCTAGACTATTTCCGCCCAATCAAGAGAAATTTGTGGTGCAGTTGTTTTCTCGTGACGCCGTTCTACGCTTTTTTGGAGATTGCATTTAAAAACATATGTTGAAATCCGTACATTCGCCTTTCATTTCCACCTTTCTCTATGAATAATTTATTCTGCTAGAAAGCAAGCGACCGAGACCGAAGAATCAGTTTGCCAATTGACATATGTCTTCATCAGCTGCATTCCTCTGACCAAATTTATCCCGAAAACAAAAGCCATCGCCGTTCGTAAACAAAGTGTTTTCCATATATTTCTTTAGAGAAGCTGTTAATAAAAGTACAGTGTTTACAAACACAAAGTAATAAACTATACCGTATTTGCATATGAAATCCGCTCCATTATGAACTGGCAAATAACTGTTCACATTGTGGACTTTTGAGGCCAACTATCCAATAACAGGACAATGGAACATCCTGCTAGGTAAGTCTTGAGACAAAAACATATAAGCACCCTTTGAAAGGCTTTTTCTGTATTTACTTTAGAGTTGATGGCTTTAAATCTTCCTGGAGACGTTTGCCATCTCATGTCTCTCAACACTGAAGTGTTAAAATCTAACCCTGTTACAATGCGGTGAACTTGACGTGTCGTGTCGACTCAGTAACAGTGATTAAATTAGCGCAAGCGGTAATAGAGGTCGTCAGTAGATAACCTAGATGTCTTTCTGCATTGATGGGCATGGTCGGATCGTGTCGCCGAGGAGACTCAGCTAAAACAACACGGAAATCTAGCTAAGAAGTAGAGTTTCGACAAAAGGCACATGATTTAGCGGAAAAGGCAAGTGAACACCAAAATGACGCCATACAGTTTCATCTTACGGTCAGTGTGTCTAACGAATCAATTAGTCCTCTTCATTAAGGGATAAGTCTATAGCATACGTCGTTACAAACGTTTCGGGAAGGTTTTAAGCGTGGATTTCCGATGTGTTAGTTTTCGGTGGCGAGTGGAGGAGTGTAAACGTGAAGACCAAAGTGTTATGGTCACGGAATCGAAGAAGTAATCTGCTGCACGGAGGTCTGCAAAGAGGCGATTAAAATACCACGGATTATCGAGGATACAAACACAAATCGGGTTATTTACACGTCTTATTTAATTACTAAAAGTTATGGACTTTGAAGCCGCAAGAAGAAATGCAGACGATAGACTTACTCAGGAGCTCACCAGGATCCGCAACCTTCCTAAGCGAAGCAAAATCAAAATAGCTAACAAATACGGCTTGAAACATGCGAGTCACACAAATGCAGGTCTGCTAAAATCACTCGAGATTGACTTGAATGTTATATCAAGAGAGCAGAGAAGAGTAGCTAATGAATGCAATAAAAGACAGAGAGAATTTACGGAAGTTCAAAGGAAATCTTTGTCAAAGTTTCTTCCTTCCATTGCACAGGAAGATGGGGGAGAAGGGAAATCAACCGTACAAGGAAAGACTCAAAGACAACGAAAGACCACAGCTGTTATTGATCAGACACCCATGTGGTTGAAAGGTCGAAAGGAGTCCATCTGTGAACTGAAAAGAGAAATGCTTCTGGATATGACGGCACGAAGCAAAGAGAAGACATATGAGATTATTTCGAAGAACAACAAAAAGACTTCCATCGGAGCACCGTTGCCCCCAATTCGGGATATTGAAGTCGAGGTTGATAGGGAAGCTTTGATTACTCGATTGAATCGTCAACGCAAAAATGCTTTTGCGGGAAGTTGTTTTCCATTTTTGCTGGCAGAAAACCAGGAATATAACAGAGAGGGAGTTAAATATCCAAGAAAAAAGCCTTATCAAGATCAACGAGAACCGTCTTTGCCATCAAACTACGCTCAGGATAATGAACAAGACGATTTTCGAAAAAGAACGTATAGAGGAACAGTTTATGAAAAGATTCTTAAGATTCCTGATCCTTCTAAGATTCCTCACTTAGATCCTAGAGATCCTAAACTTTATCATGTCGTCATGAAAGCGCGAAAAAGAAAGGTATCCAAGTTGGAACAAGCTGATCATGTTGTAGCTCGCAAAAACACCGTGTCCACGAGGCACTGGAAATGATGACGACGATTTCTACAGCCAAAATGGTTTTTTTATTGAGTCAATTGAATATTAACACGACATATCTGCTCTATTTTGCTTAAAGTTACACGCGGCTGTAAAATCAATTATTCAAGGATTTAGCCTCAGTGTTTGTTTTACGAGGAAATCGTTCACGGTTTGTTTGGATAGTCTGCTAGGGCGCCAAAGAAATGAAAGGAAATCCATTTTTAACATTGAAAATGCATCGTATTTCTTTTTTCCTTTTTTTTTTTCCTTCTTATATAAATCAAATGGAGATTTGAACTAATAGTTTTTCTTAAAGTTATCAGGATCAACGAGGAAGGAAAGATGATGACAATAAAAAATTCAAATATCAAAGGTTTTAAACTAAAAAAAAAATACTGCGAAGTTGTAGTGGACGGTTTACATATTGGATCCAAAATATGGTTACTGTAACATATTTCTTTTAGCGCAAGGAAATTTGATCAGGAACCTGTGCGGCCACTAATTTGTTTTCGGTGAAATTCAACCCAAACGCTTCACTGATGTTGTTTATTGGGAAAACAGTTGTGTTTTATTTGTCTTTTGAAAATGTGTAGTTAGCTTTTATCATATCTCAACAATCAAAAGTTTTTTTTACGCTTCTTTTGGAGGAAAAGATTTGCGACGAAAGCTTTGTACTTTTGATAGGCTCGCAACGCGTATTAACTAAACCCGCGCCGTTTTGCTCAGGCGGTTGATTCTCGAAGGAAGTGAACGTATGTCGTGAAAAGGTAGCGTTTTGCGCCTGAATTAGCCTTTCCGCATCATCTTTCAACATATAGTGAGCTGAGCAGAAAAGAGAGACCAATTGGGTCTGTAATCATGCAAGTGATTAACAAAATCGGATGACTGCGAAGCAGTCATGTTAACTCGGCGGAATGCGAGACAAAAGCGCGCGCAAATGACGCTTTCTCTCCACTTACACAGGTATGACGTGTTAACTGTTCCTTTAACTGCCCTATTGCACCGTCCAATTACAAACATAACGCGTAATCTGCCCTATTAGTGTCTAAATTAAATCGGGCTGGTGATATTCAGTTACGTTCCAGAATTTTGTTATAGTTTTGATTAATAATGGTAAAAGGAACGATTGGAATACAATCATACGAGTGATAAACAAAATCGAGTAGATAAGTGTTATCAACTGAGTTGATAACGTAAATTGGCCCCAGGGTTTAAAGGCTGACGTTGCGAGCGTTGGCCCTTAGTCAGGGCTACAGGGCTAACTGGCGAAGGGCTGACGCTTTCCCAGTTAACAGCTTAATGTGCTCCACAGACAGGATAGAAGAGGCAGCGGAGCGTTTTGGAACGTTGGAGATTTTATCTTAATGAAGGGCATATAAAGGCATATAGCTGAACGCTTACCCTTACGGATATTTCCAAAATCTCCTCTGCAGAGTTGGTTGAAACAAGCAACTCCGAATCCCTTTGTAATTTTTAACGCCGTCCAGTGTGTGCGAAATGACAAAAGGGAATTGAAATAAATCCTCCTACTAGATCGTATCACTTAGACAAGTGCGATCCTGAGGAAACAACAATTTATACTGCGCTAACGACGGAGTTTCCGGATCAAAACGTGTGGGTAATTTTATGTGTTATGGTGGGGGAGGAAGGTTCGACCTTGGAAGGGGCCTCCAATCTCCCGCTGTTTTTGGCCTTTGTCATGATTAAGATTTAGCCAAGTTCTTCGGGTAACAAATAGTTTGTCTCTCTGTAAATATCGAAAGTTTATTCTTTAAGGCCAGTTTATAATCTCTTGTTGAGGCCTAGGATTGATGACACCGGCATACATTGGTCATACACACTGATAAATAATATAAACACGAAATTATGACAATGATTACATTATTCTTACGTCCAAATTGATCCAAAAATGAAAATATGAAGTTTAAGATAAATTTTTTAAAGATTTGATGACTGATGTAAAATTGATTCCATTGCAGTTCAAGCAAAGTTGCATTTAATTTACTGCAGTGATGGTAGCCATACAATGATTTATCACCAAGGTACCCGTGATAAACTTACTGCGTACGCTGTCTCACTTATCTTTGCTTCGACTTATTGTTTATCTTACATTTAACTTGGCAGGTTTTGAGATATCTATCACTGCAGGAACTGCAGAGCATTTCTCTTCCGAGTTTCCTTCGTGAAGCAAATTCTTTTGATAACGCTCCAACTGTTTGGACAAAGACAACCTCTTTCTTTCTTCCTGAGTTCGAAACCCTTTGTAAGTCGCCATATTGAATACGGGAGTGATATAAGCATCCTTGTTGAGTAATAGATAAGGCAGATATAAACTAGGCGGTATGGTCCGTCTTTCCACAGAGGGAATCCTTTTAGTCAATCTTATCGTGCTATCGTCACCGTGAAATGAGTTTGTTTGGACAGCGTCGACAGAATGCACCCTTGTCAATCGTAAAACCTTGCGCGATTGCAATCTTTCCTGATCATAAAACCTTTGGGACGTTCTCTTTTCTTCTATCAGCGATGTATCAGTGTCTTTCACCCTGTCCTTAAAACAAAGTCTATAGGGTATTCTCTCCTCGATCTTTCCTTTACTAATGGCGTCTGATTGTTGCTTGTGGCCAAACTTCATGCCTGAATCCATGATTACATGACAGTAGTTTTGTTCAGTGCTGCCCACATCTCGCGCTAAAAGACAGCGGTGTTGTTTCTCGATTGTTCATTAAAGTAATCCTGTAGTTAAAAGTCAATGACGTTTGTTTTGTTTTTCACAAGATATTTCCTTAGTCCGGCAGTGCATTTCATTGGTCGAGAAAGGATCATTGACAATTAGGCATATCCAAATACTAATTGGTTTTCAGGTATAATATATATCATAACGATTACAATGCCTAGAAAGTTCTCCCATATGGTAGACATAAAGCTTTGCTGTCTTCAATAATTTTTTCTGATTTCCCTAATCACTAAACGACCTGCTTTTACCTTCCTTTCGGCTTGGAAGAGAGTCACAAACTTAGCTGCCAAAACGGAAACAGAAAATGGCTGGATTTCAGTGTAAAGTAGCTGTAAACTGTAAACATGCAGGTTAAAAGAGACATCGTTTACAATTGATTTAAATAATAGGTAAACGAAGAGGATATTAGAGGCAGTAAAGGAAAGAATAAACACAACGCTTTTTCATAATTTTTAATAATTGGTCTTACGATAAGCCAGACTTTGATCGACTTTTTTCTTCGCCATATTTATGGAATTCCTTAACAGTTAACTAAAGTACTATGTATTGATTTTTCAACAAAGCGTAAGAGAAAATAAAATAATTCTTGACACTATTGATAAGAACAGAAATCCAGTCTTTTAAGAAACAATAACGGTCACCATAACCTTTATTTGATGTAAAGAACTGACAAACAACACTGCTTAGTGAAGATTTAATAAACATTCCGAGTCTATAAAAAGGGAGGGTTTTCAGGGTGGAAAACTGTGTACACGAATCCAGTAACTTGACAATGCCATGAAGGTTTCTAACTTTTGCATGACAAAAAGCTAAGATTAAAGAAACTCAAGTGCTTTTCAATGCTTTCTTTTGTCTAAGCAGTTCAGAAGTATTTGCACAGTCGGTCAATCACGTTTTTACGTTGAACCCGTTGGGAATATCAGGGGCCAAATACTTATTCTTTTGTACTAGTACTGGGTCAACATATTCACAGAGTTTTAACCGACAAATGCTGCTAAGTTTTGTTATAAGACCCTTCACATTTACTTTTTGAGGCACAAGTCCCGTTTCTCTCATTGGCGGTAACTCCCATTGTCTTTATAAATCGCGACGAACTGATTCTCTATAACAACAACATCGGTTACCACAGAAAGGGTCAGTAAATAAAGTAAATATAATTGAACCTGGCGAGACCAACTTGAAAAGCATTGATGATGCAAATTAAAGACTCAGTGATGTTTCAACAGAGAAGCTTTATAGTCTCTGAGATAACATCTTTGTTGAAGGCAGTCCAGTTAAAAGCGTTGATACTCTAAATCAAAAAAATTTTATCACGCTTACATGACAGAAGAGGTCTCAGAAAGAGGCTTTTAAGATTATAAAAGGTCCACACTTTTCCTCATATTTTGATAACTTAAACTGATTCCCTTATTGCCATGATCAAGTCGAGCTAGTTTGAAATGCTCTGTAAAATGTAAATATGTGATTCCTTGTGGAGAACGATCAAAGTTTCCACTTCATGTGCTATAACCTCCGTCAAGGGAAAAATAGTTTGCTATCACAAAAGTTTCAGATATAAGTCAGTTAAAGCAATTTCAAAAGAAAATAGAGGCATTTCCCTTTTCTGTACACAATTTACTGCTGCCGTGTGATATCAGATGATTTGAGTCTCACTCTTCAAGCAAATAACTTTAATTGTTGATCCATCTTTCCAGAGTTATACGACTTGGAACACAACTGTAGCTGCGTATTTTACTCTTGAAGACCCTTTTTTGAAAAGCTTTGGAGACTCCAAGGCGAAAAGTTGTTTGATCACATTCTTTTCTTTAATCGCCTACGTCTTGTGTACATCAAATACTGAAGCCTGTTTCCATGATCAGTTCATCTGTGTTATCATTGTCAAGCTCCGAGTTCTTCTGAGCTCTTTCTATATATTACGAAAGTCTTTGATTTACAACGTTTAAACCAGTCAACTTGGGTAACTTTAATTTTAGAGACTGTGAATCCGTCTTGTTTCCAAGCTCGCTGCACTCACTATTAGCGAATCTGTCCTCCTCCTCCTCTTGTCTGTGGCTTTTAAGCGCTAAAGAGCAATCATGGCGATATGGTTTGCCCTTATAGTCTTCAACAGCACGGCCACTGTTAGTCATATGTACCTCATTCGATGTCAGCTCTCTGTTCCCAGTGTTGCACATACCCCTGTAAGCTTCGGGGTTTGTTATGCTCGGAAGTTCATAAATCGGCGGGAAAAGGAGTCGGTTGACGGAGTTATTTGGACGTACTGTGACCTCTTCTTCCTGGCGTTCACTAAATGGCGCAATGTCTCGCCAGGAACACATTTGTCTCTGACGATTCTTTTGAAGACGTTCCAGTTTTTTCGGTTCAATTTTCCCGTAAGGGATGCAATCACAAAGACGGTCGCTCCTCTTCTTGTTTCGCATAGCTCTTTTAGAAATACAGATATCCAAATACTTCTTAATTTATCTGTTTTCAAGCTTTGGTTTAGCGGCCTCTTCCCTGCAACAATGCTCAGCGTGCGCCGTAACCTAACCGCAGTACAACACGCACGTTATTGAGATTTTCACTTAATACGCGTTCAGTGGAAGTTTTCTGGTTCAACTCTTGAAATCAGTGTAAAATACAAAGAAGTATAGTCTTTTTATGACGCGCTTATCCGCCTACGAACTTTGCAAAAAAGCCTTGGAACTCTCTGATGTAATCAGTATACCAGTTCTTTGTACAATAGATTTCTGGCTGTTTCGTTAACAATTACGTACTGACGAGATTTGAATTACGTCTTTCAAGTAACTCAATCACTTTGGTTAAAGTCTTCACTTCCGAGTTGCCATCCAAATCTTCCAATCATCTCCTTCTAGGATGCCACTATGCATTCGTGCAGTGGATAACATCAATTTGGTGTCATGTTTTTTAAGTGGAATATTAGTTGTTTGCACGGTATTGTCTATACTTTCACTAAGAACCGCATAGAAGTGGAAATTTAAGACCGCAATTGTTCATCGTGCGTTGATTGAATTACCCACTAATCCCACGTGGGTGATGCTATTTGCATTGTTGATTTGTTGAGCGGGTTACTATGGAAACCGGGCCTGTCTGAATTACATTAAACTTAATTGTGCAGAAAATTTTACGAGCGAAAGAGTTTACAAATATACTTGTTTTACTGTAAAGTAATACGTATTTCAATGTAACTCACGTAAGTGGAAAATTTAACAGAGTCAACGCATAAAACCAGATTGGCTTAGTTTGAAATTACACGCCCATGTGCTCAAATTGTTAGTTAACAAATATGAAATGAATTTAACATGGAGGCGACGTTTTCAAATGTTGATGGATGATTTGTCTCAATGAAAACCTTAACTCTCGCAGATGAATTTTCAAACAATTTCAAGTCCAATAGTTCGAGGGCGAAAATGCATTTCACGCTTTTAGCACTGTATTTAAAATTGGCTTTAAAATGAATATTTTTTTGCCAAATAAAAAAAAAATAAAGACATTATTTTAAATGATTTTGTAACTAAACAACAAAAAGTTTCCTCGTTAGAATTCACATGACAGCGATTACAATCACATGGTTTAAGGCTTAAGCTTATTTTAGTTTTAAATCTAAACACTTTTCTGTCGAAAATAGGGATGAATAATAAAACTTAAAAAGAATAATGGATAGAAATACAATATTGTACGAATTTAAAAAGGAAAAGACTGCGAGGCTTGCGATTAGGAAATTTTCAAGAAAACAATCCAAGGGCGGAAATTTCATATGCAACAAGACTCGAAACTTCGTAATCGTCAGTCTATGGGTGGTTTTCTAAAGGTTTAAATCTCTCTCGTGCTTGAAACATTTTTGTTTTATCCGCCAGAGGTTGTTGGTTATCATGGAAACGTTTTCAGTCGGTGAATGGTCTATCAAATGATTGTTCGCGAACTGACCGCAAAGAGAAAACTTCTCATGACTGTCAAATCTGTCGAAAAATTAGACTTTCGATTTGAAACAATCTCTTATGGCCTCCACAGACGAAGAAATGCCGGCGAATTTGCAGGACAAACGTAACGACGTCTTTGAAGTTGAGAGCGAAAATTTGCGTGATGAAAACCAGAATGTTGTCACTTCAGGACTAACAAATTTTCGATACTTGGTTGATGCTTACAACACTGCTAAGAGGAATGATTTCACAGCTGATTATCAGCTTGCTGAAGATGTCTGTGGTGATTATTCTGATGCGGAATATGATTCTAATTGTGAAACGCAAGCCGCTAAAAAGTGCGTTGTGGTCAAGGAAGCCGTTTCCCCTGAGGGTGAATCGAGCACCAGTCCTGTGTCTGCCAACCAAACGAGTCGTTCATATTTGTATGAAAAGAACCCGTTATTAGACCAGAGATTTATCCGCCTTATTGAGCAGCTTGTGCCTCTAAGAAGAGGGATTCAGGCAGAAAGAAAAGCCACGACAAGAAAGGAAAACTTTTCTGATAAATGCGGCGAGATTTGTTTCAAAGATATCTGCCTTAAAGATACTTGTCGCTTGGTGTTTAAAATGATGAACAGGGGAAGGAGTCCACCGATGGAGTGAAAAATATAATGTCGGATTTTAATCGCATATTTTAACCAGGAGAAGGTTTACAGTGTGTGTTTTAAGTTATGGAATGATCATTTGTTATAAACACTTTAATTGAATTTTTTTTTGTACGTTGAAAATTGAAACATGTAACTGATAACAACGTTGATTTTATCAAGTTGGACAAAAACGCCACGAACGAAAGTGCTCGTGAAATTGTAAATTTGAAACACGTAACTATGTTTTTTTTTAAAATATATGTTTTATCAGATCAACGTCATTGGAAAACTTGCGCCTATTTTAAATCGCGTTGATTTTTTTTACTTTCTATTTGCGCGTCACTAATTAATTGGATCACTAATTTACACGACCTAAATTTCCATCTTGTTCCTCCTGAATTCTCGATGCATTGTGCCTCGGACAGTTTTGACAGCTAAGAAACAATTGCAAAAAGCATTAATTAATCAGTAAGGAGATCCGCGAAGGATAAACAACGTAAAAAGCGGAAAGATTTCAGTCTTTCAACCTTACGATTAGAGAAAATTACACAAATTATACAAACGTTGTATCTGAATTTTACATCATGAGTTATAATAAATTTGGTCCCACTGTCTCAACAAATTCTGTTCCTCTGTCTTAGTGGCGTTAATTTTTCTCCCATCTAAAATTTATTGCCGCTTTTGTGTTATTTTTTTAATTGAAAAGTAATTTCCAAACCAATTTGTGTCAACTTTGGCGCTTTTATTTCCTTTTCATTACCTTACTTGTACTACAAGCGTTAATTTTGCTATGTCAGAGTAATTACACATCCAGGTACATAGACAGGGAGTCTACAGGAACATGCTCGCTGACCATGAAGAACGCGTATACTAATATTGAGGAGCCCATGATCATTTTTATATGCCTGTCATTTGATAGCACCCTATTACATACTTTTCCTTATTAGCAGTTGGAAAGCAAGCCCTGTAATGCTTTCTGCTCGAGTTCTTCACGCTGAATTACAACAATTTTTCTGATGTTCCTAAATTTGTTTGAACTAACAGTAGCTAACAGTCTATTGGTGTAAGAGACCGCATCAAGTTTTGAAATCTTGGATCAAGTTTTGCATCCATGATTGAAATCTGACTTTTTGATGCAGTTGCCTTGGGTGTGTTGAGACGTACACCTGGGGCGAACTTTTCAAGACCAGTTTGTTCTGAATTCAAGAATCCTTTTTGCCTCCTTTCGTTTACTCTATTATCTGGTAAAAGTTGTGCAAACGTCGGTACTGATATGGCAGCTTTGCTGCGTTTTCCTGATCCATTTTCCATTCTTTCCAAATAATGTAAATACTTCATTTTCTCTCGGTACATTGTCCACCCATTTCGATTTCTTTCCTTGGCACAATAATCTTCTTTACATTTTGCAAAGCTCTTGACTCTCTTTAACCTTTTCTCCTTCTCTACGCTTTCGTCAGTTAATTCAGTGACTTCTACTGCACAGTTTGATGAATCAGGGTGTATGAATCGGAGTATTTTCATGAGAAGGTTCGTGGACTTTTTAAAAGATCGTGGTTTCCTTCGCTTTGGCCAAATTGGTGAAACGTGCACCACCGGCATAGAACTTGATAACTTTTCCATAGTTTAAGATTCTCGCACATGAAAAGGTTCAGTCTTAGCGAAATTTGAACCTTTTACTGCCCAATCAGTAACGATGCAACTTTCTATTTATTCTGAGAGCATAAAATCGGTTGACGTCAAACCACAGCGTCAATGCCTGCACGTTTTGTTATTCGTTAATCTTTCTTTCAATAGAATATAATCTTTTAATGCCGGTAAATACAACACGTTTCAACGGCTGCCAATTATAAGTAAATATTGATTTTGCATCTAGAGGTAACACGTACCTGTAGTAGAGCTGATAGGAACACTCGATTGCACAAACATTGACACCTAAATAGCTCATGATCCTTAAATGATGTGACCTAACGGCTTTATGGGAAATATTAGTACCATTAAATAATCAATGCTTTGCTTTTCCATTATTCATGAAAAACTTTTGTTTTTGATGATTATTTTCTTCACAAAAGCGTGGATGGCTTCCATTATTTACCATGTGCAACTAATTGATATAATTATGCACATATAAACCCACAAAACCGTAGGCTTTCATCGTTCATCGCTGACGTTTTTCAGGTGTCAAGGTTTTTGCAATCGAGAGTATACCTTTGTCATCCGTATTGGCGATCAGACGTGGTCACTGTGCTGAGACCGATAGCAGAAGTTTGTAATAATTTGCATGGATTCATTGAAAAAGAGTTTTCATTTTGTCGATAGCTTCCTGGCGATCACAAGTTTTGCCTGAGGAGGAACTTTTTGGTCGGAATGTTTCTATAATTTTAAGTTTCATAACACAGGAACGTGGTTCGTACAATTACAGCCTCATTTTACCGTATGCTTGTACATCTCAATGTTCTTATTAAAACTGGGTCCTAAAAGCTGAGCGACTGAGTAAATTTCAAGCAGGCAAACACTACCCCAGGATTTCACTGAAAAATCAGTTCTGTTCCCATCTCAAAAGGCCCGTTGTTCCCAGGTTCCATACCCGCAACTGCGGTTTTGCTGATACGACTTCGAACCCAGGTTCCCAGGCCCCAAATAAGGTGGTGCGACAAAAAACAGCCGGACCTTGGCACCAGCGCTCCAGTTTACCAAACAGGAGAACCATTTATTCCCATTTTATATGTCATTCAATAAATGAACGACTTTTGCTGTTTTCATCACATTATGTTGATAAACACAACGTCAATGCCAAATAATGAAACTCCATTTTATTTCCATCAAGTTTTAGACTTATTGGTTGCATTTCCTGCAGCTTAGAGACTTATTTCTTCCCATGAAAACAAGAGTTAATTGCTAGTGCTTAACTCCTACGAAACATTCTTCCTAAGATGCTAAGGCGTCATGGTTGCAAGCCATTTCTCATGTAACGTCTTCCCACTTAATCTGCTCTGCACCTTGTCTCTTTTATATCCTCTGTTCTCCTTTGCCATCCTTGAATTCATGTTTTCGTGGTCGAATTCTCCTTTGTTTGCTGGAGGAACAAGACAAGTCAATAAACGTTGAAAGCGAGGGTCGCTGACTGGGTGTTTTGCATCTTTGTTGCTACTATCTATTTGCGGAAAACTCATCACACCATTTTTTTGTGGAAAAACCACCTCATCCGTTTTGTTGCGTCTAAGTAATAGCACTGTCTCCCGTTGGAATATCACGGAAGTATTTCTCCCAATTTTTGAAATCTTTTGATGCCCCTCAGTCAACTGAAAGTCTTTTATAAAGGTTTGGCTCGATGAATCATTTAAATTCCCTTTACTCGTAACTGTGAGGCTCTGTCTGGGAACCTTACATCTGTCCTCGTCAAATCTGGATTTTCCCCAAGCAGTTTTCTTTCTCTCCGCTCTGTGATAAGCTTCTGTTTGAATCTCGAAAATCCGCTCGTGTTTCTTGCGTTGCTCTTCTTGAAAATTTCTGGTGAGATTCACTATACTATTAGCGTCATCCCTACTGTCAACCACTTCCGAAAACAAATCCTTCATGCCCGAATTCATACTTTGCAGAAACTTAAACAGGATCATTTTTTTCCTGACGAAACGCCGAAAGGCAGCTTTCCGGGCTTTGACATATTCAATTCTCTTGTCTGGCGGCCAAATAGGTGCAATATGAGGAATTAGAGGAAATTTTACTTCGTCTGCGCTGTTAAGATGCATTTCAATCATATCTCGTGTTGATTGTATAGGCACATTTTCTTAATATACTTTTCTACTACGTGCGAGAGAGATTAATATCCCTTCGCTCCGAAGCCTTTGTTCAAGATCTGCCCAAAAACAATAGCCTCGTTATAAAAATAGTAATTTAACAAAGACCAGAGAGATCAATAAGAATTTACACTTTTGACAACAAGTAATAATTTTTCTAAGAGAGCAGGTTTTAGCCAGTGACGATTTCATCTAGGTTTGTTATCAGTAATCAATGTAATTAATAAAACTAACCAATAAGCTGTTTTGATTGGAGGAAAACAACTTTTAGTTTATGTCAAACTTATTTGGATCAGGAAAAGCAAATAAAACTTTAATAAGATTTCCTTGATAGACGCATTATTCAAAGGCCACTATTTACCTTACCAATAATTACCTTGAACGGCTCAGAGACATGAAGCTGAATAACAAGGACATACTTAAATTTTGCAGTAAAATTGATTATCACCCTGTATTGACCAAGGGGAGAAATTAATGTGTTTCTCGAAAAATAATTGCATATTTCATTTAGCGTCTTGTTATCATGTTGATTTCCTGTCTGTTTCAGGGCTTTGTGAAATTTTTCTTAATTTTCATGATAAAATTAGTTCTGTCAGTTCCGTTCATTGAACTTGTGTCACAGCTCGCCAATGAACAATTGGTTAATTGCCATTTTCTTTGAGCAAAAATGGTGAATCACATTTTGAATAAAATTTGAGAAATTAACAAATTAAATGGTTTGGGGCAAAATTTTTAAAAACATGAAGTATCATTTTATTGAAAATGAACGACAAAATGTTTATAACATATTATACAATGACAAAATAGCGAATTACATTTTGAATAAAATTTGAGAAATAATCTAGTAGAACGTACCAATATTATTCTCAGAAAATAGTTTGTGGCAAAATTTTTGAAAACATGAAGTATCCTTTCATAGAATATGAAAGAAAAAAATTATTACCGAAAAGGCATCTTCACGAAATTATTTGTGTTTCAAGAACTGCATGAGACATTTTAATCGCATTCAAAATTGTAATTCAACTGAGTGAAGTGTAATTTGCAGATTCGAACAAATTCGTAGCGTAACTTCGAATTGCAATTACAAGTATGATTGAAGACCAAAATTGCACCACATGAAGTTCAGTTACCACTTTATTACATATTCATGTTGATATCGCAAAATTTAATATTTCAAATACAGGATTTTATGGTCAGTAGAAATATTCTATTGATCCAGCACTGCGTTGGATTGTAAGGAAATGGAAGCGGGAAGAGAACAGGATAAGTTTTGGGGACAAAAGTTGCAAAAAGTAATAAACGTGTTTGTTGTGTTGTTAGTTAAATCTGGTTTAATCCATCTCATTTCGAACCATCCGTTGGCTCCTCGAAACTTTAACAGATATTACAACTGGAATTGAAATTGGACGAGAAATTCTTACTTGGGAGGGGAGGGGAGGGGGTTAAGAGGGGACTCGGAGAGAAGTTCCCCAATATAATGTTCAAATTATATTTGGTGACTAGAGAATGCTGTTTCCCGCGCAACTCTTAAAAAAAGCATCTGAATCAACATAAATTGAAATTTTGCAACGTAATTTGGTATTATCAACCGAGTTGATATCGAAAATTGGTCACCGTTAAGAGTTTCAAAGCTGACGTTTCGAGCGTTAGCCCTTTGTCAGATTCAAACAAAGGGCTAGCTATCAGCTGATTATACCAAATTACCCTGTTTTACTTTCCCAAAGACGCAGCACCGGAGTTTTTTTAAAAACTTACCCTCTTTATTCATTTGAAATTGTGCAAACGCGCTTAACCTCTGCGAGGCCTTTAACAGAATCTTTTTAAGTGCCCTTGAAAATAAATCCTTGCGGTATTTCGTTACGTTGGTTCGGACGCCCCTGCAGAAAGTGAAACAAGAAGCTATGATGGAAAAGAGAGTGGAAAGAGGGAGAGTGGGGGAGGGAGAGGGTGGGGGAGAGGGAGAGTGGGGGAGGGAGAGAGTGAGGAAAAGGAGGAGTGGGGAAGAGGGAGAATGGGGAAGAGGGAGAGTAATGAACTGTTGGGATGGGAGGGTTCAGTGATAAATAATTAGCTGATGTTGAAAAATACTTGAAAAAATAAATGGGAATCAAGAACTGAATCAATAAATAAATAAATAAAATAATTCATGGTAATAAATATCTTAGACAGAGCTGTATTATTACATAATTAAATTTTCTTGAAAAATTAATTCTGTTATGTTAATGACATACACACAAAAATTAATTTTTCGAATGAAAGCTGATCATTTTCCTTTCTTCAGTCTTTGCATTCACGATTATTTCTTAAAACTATTTTTATGCAGCATGTATATTGTTTTGTATTGTTTGTTTAAGATACAGTAAACGTTTTCTTTGATGTATTTTTAGCACTTCTAAACAGGATGACGTTTACCCTGAATATCTATGTATTTGAATGTAAACTCCGCCCAAATTTATCGCCAAACAATGCCTTAAAAAACAGAGCAGGTTTTTTAATTTAACGACTCAATCATTTGGAACCACCCATTGCTGTTTTCATCAGCTAAAAAAAAAAATCAACGATTTTTCTTCCTTATTTTCAAAGAAGCTGATAATATTTCATTCATATCTCGGGAAGATTTTAATCTCTTGGATTATGAGTTGCTAGTCGCTTATTTGTCTGAAAAAATCGTGATCGCTTTCGTGACAAATCTGCGGTGAAAACACAGAATTACATAATAACTAATTATGTTGCAAATGAAAGCTTGAATGTAGGCGTCATGCAGAGCGCATGCGCGGGTCGCTATTCATCTTTAATGTCAATAGACAACATCTGCAGTTTCAGAAATAGATTTTTTTTGTGATGTTTATCGGAAATTACAACGGGAGGACACACACACGAATTTAAACAAAGATTGGCTGTACTTAAATCCGCT